AAGAATGCAGGTTCGTATTAAAAAAAATTAAGTTGGCCTCTGTATCTCACAAATTATTAGCTAATTTGAAGATTCAAAAATACTGTTGTAATATAGTCCTAATAAATTGGCTATGGGAATGTGCAATTCGTTTTTTTGATTTTCTAAAAAGTAACGACAGGAAAAATTAAAATTGATTTTCAAAAAAAATCGATTTTTCCAAAAAACTCAACAATCTTTGATTTTTTTAAACTTTTCTGAAGGTGAACATCCCAAAGCGTAACCATAGTATAAGGAAACTAGTAGATTTACTCCTTGTCAAATCCTTTGTTCCTTTTCTGCCACTTTATATGACCTTGTTCTCGCCTCCCGTGACCACTGACGTAGCTGTATAGTTGTGGTCTATTAACTAGGCAAAGTATAGTCGTGGCACTCGCCGTAATTTCACAGATATGTATTTAGAAAAATATGAGTTCCCAATAAAATAAAATAAAATAAATTGATCATCGAGTAAAAACTTGCTGGAAAACAGAATGTTTTCACATTTCGTGTAGGTAACAATTCTTCTGTATCTGAAAATCTTCTGATGGGAAGAAATGCGGAAAATATATATAATGACATATTTTTATATTATTATCTATTTCAGAAATGTTCTACAATTTTTTTTTGATTTAAAACAAGTTTAATTTTCTGTAGATAACTGGATTCTATTTAAAGCACACTGCGGTGTTGTCATCCTATTTCTTATTGTTTGGTTAAAAACATTATATATGAAAAGTGGCAAAAAACTAGAGTGAATATAACTTTATTAATACTTAGCTATGTTTTCTTAAACATGACAAGGACACCAGAATAAATTCGTGTAGAAAAATTTACTTTATCGTATACAGGGTATTTTTTATGGCGTCACCAAAATCGTAATATTTAAAATATTGTATCACATTTTTTTTAAACGCAACACCTAGTATATTATTTTTCTTTCAGATGTAGAATTAAAAAGTGAACATTTTTTGTATTTAAAGTATTCTTAAATTTTTAGGCGTTTTGCAAATATTTTCTGTATTTCATTACATATGGGATTTTCAACGATAAAATATCAGACAAAGATCATATTAGGTGGCTTTGATAAAAATTTACTGTTGAAAGAGCTATATGTAATATAATACTGTGAATATCTGCGAAACCGTTAAACATTTAGAGAAACACTTTAAATAAAAAAATGTTCACTTTTTAATTCTGCATCTGACCGAAAAATAATATACAGAATGTTGCATTTAAAAAAATTGAGATACACCATTTTAAATATTCCGATTTGTGACGCCATCTCCATAAAAATACCCTATATAGAATAATGTATATAGAATGATGTAAAATAATTAAAAAAAAATAAAATTAACTTTACCATAACTTTTTTGTGACACCCTGTATATAACAAAATATTTTAGGATACGACCCTTTATAAACCTTGAAACATATGAATAAAACTTTTTTCACATCTTCGACAAGAACGACGATATTGGACTTCCTCGCAATAATGGGCCACCCTGTATATTTACGCTGGTTTAAAGCTAGGTGTGGCACTTTTCTTCCCTCAAATATAAACTCAATATTTTGTCTATAATATTTTGAATATTGTTATGTTACGACCACTTATAATAAAAAATAAATAAAATAAAAAAATACAGTCCACTAAATTTATAATAGATTATGCTATTATAAAATTTTTTCATTTAAAAAATATGAATAATTTGCGGAGACTTTAGATGTACAAAATATTTACTCGAAAATTGTTTCAAAAACCAATCTATATAAATTATCTCGTAAATTATTATTGGAATGAAAATTTTATGGTAAATCCCCTGACCAAAGAATATTTTCATGCGCATATTTGAGACAACCTGTATATCTAAAAAACTATTTCTAAGATTTGCCCACATGCTAAAAAAAATAATAACATTTAATTAATTACATAATATCTCAGCTTCTAAAATAAACAAATATAATTAAATGTTTATTGATAATTACTATCAGCTTGCCGATTTACATCCGATGGAAATCTAAAAAAATTCAAAGAACAATTTTTTGAATTATTACTACAATTAATAGCAGCACACAGTAAGGCACTAATTTTTTGTCAATCCGTCTCTGCGCTGGGACGCAACTCTCGAACCTCGCAGCTCGACGGACGGAATTCAACTGAAACGCTTTGCAAGCTGCCGATATTCGACAGCTTGCAAAAAGTGGCAGAAAATATTTGCGAGAGCGCAACTACTCTTTTCCTTAAACTATGGCGTAACTTTAACCATGTTCGTATCTCTTACGCTTATCAAGATACCACCGCTCGTACCCAGAATTTGTAGCACCTTGTATAAAAAATCCTATGTGATATACGAACTTTCTGATCGACCCTGTATATCTATCCCTATACAATAACTTCTTATATTTCTTCAGATATATAAAATGAAAAATGTATTAAAGTCAAGAGACCGACAACATACAGAAAAATAAAAGTATCTACCATTTTATAAAGATGCCGTCTTTGAAAGGGAGGGAGACTCACATATAAGGACGGTAGAAAAGTCCTGTTTAGCTGGAAAATGCTCTCAAACGATTTTCCCGATGTTGTTTATTAAAGGAAGAAGTCTAAGTCTGCACGAAAATATATTAAATTGAACGTAGGAAAGAGAAGAAGGTATATAAAGGGGCTTTTTGTCGAGATTCTTCCTTGATTGAAAATTTTATCAGCATCTTTGATAATTGAAAATATTAATTAATGAGATTTTAACTTGGGGTAAAAAAATAATTTATAAATTTCAGTGGCTTTTTTCAAGATAGGTAGGTATATTATCTGGGCGCACAGCAGTGCCCCCGCCAAGTCGAACACAGCCGTACCATCCTTTTCTCGAAGGTATTATATTAGCGGCACTTTTGACCACCCTGTAACTTCGTTGTGGATAAAGCAAGAATATTAATTTTCACTACACTTGAAGACATACTATAGCTGGCTAGTTTACTAAAATGTCTAGTAATTATTCCTCATAGTTTATGAATTATCGCTTGTCAAATTTCTTTAATTTCGACATTGACTCACTGACAGATCATCAAAATTCTCAGGTACTTCTAGATGTGTCACGAACTCCAAATTTAGAATTTTAGGTAGCTTTAACCAAAGGTGCTTATAACCAAAGGAAAAAATGAAAAATCTCGAAATATCCTTATGGATTAAAAGTTAGCTGTCTAGCCGCTACCGCTAACTGGCTTTTCAGTCGAGAAAAGGGTAGCAAACTAGAATCCCATCAAAAACATAGAATATCTCATGTAAAACCAAGTCAGTTTATTTTATTTAGTCTCTCCTTAAGCACCTATTCAACAATTTTTGTTATAAATTGTTACTATTAATATTAGTCACCTTTATTTCTATAATTATTATAATGTCCTTCCTTAATGTTTTTATTGAAAAGTATGAATGTATAGAACATGTTTGTAATTAGTCGCTTGACATGTCACGTGACTGATATGTCAAAGTCAAATTTTTTGTTATAAACATGCTGAAGAAATTTCGTATAACGTTTTTTGCTTTTCACTGTATAAAACATATATGTAATAACATTGTGTAGGAAATATAGGAAAGTCGTTCTTTGAAACGGGCTCCTGTATCTGCTCGAGTTATCGGAAAATTATTTTCCGTATAAATCAAGTTAACGAGACAGAGTATTTTTCTGGAAAGACATCCTTAATAGATGTGAGCAACTTACCCGATATTGAAATCAATATTTTCCAAAATATAGAAAAATCCCTCCTTAACAAGGCGATTTACTAAAAATTTTCCTTTGTGTTTTCCTCATTTATTTCGATATCAACATGTTGCATTTTTTATATTAAATACATATATCATTTTATTTTTTTTAAACATAACATTCATTTCTCTTATATTAACATGCATATTAGGAAACATGACGAGACGACAACCATTTCTACCATAAACTTTGGTAGGAGTGATATCGGAGATGGAGAACTAGTGATGTAAAGGGTAATATTACCGATAATTTTGATAATATTACGTAATATTACCGCGAGATCGGTAACACTGGAAATATTGCTTTTTTCCCCTCTACTCTTTTCCTCTTTTTTGTGAAAACAAGATGGGGCTACTTTGTTTCTTGTCTAAAAAACTTTTTGGGCACTAAACACTCATTAAAAAGCTTAGCAGTTGATGATAGTCCAGATATTTCTGATGCTCAAACACAGTAAGACCTCTGCTTCGAAACGAATTTTGGCTACAAATAGAAGCAACTTATGTAGCAAAGTATCAGATTCGTCCTTTGCTAGATTGGAAAACATCCTAGCCTATCTATTGTTACGGATTCCGTGGGTCCACTATTTAAACTCACGATAAAATACTTAACGAATTTATTTGTTTCACTCTGTACACACAACTTATACTATTTACAACACAACTTATGCAACTACTATTACTCTAACGGTATTTCGCGGTATTTTCCAACTTCAGACTTCAGACTATCTTTAGACTTTAGACTTCAAACTTCAAACTTGTCCAACTGTCAAAGCGCGGGCCTTATATACCCCCTGGCGGTTGTTTCTAGATTTTTCTAAAGAATTCTATAATTTTCTTTACTTTCTGGCAAATGCGCCAGGTTCCTCAATGCACGTTGCGATTTTTTTTAGCAGTATGCAGTTATGCAACCAGTAATACACCTTGACATTGCCCCCTTCTCAAATTTGATCGTCCCGATCAAGGTTTCCTGTCTGGTATCTCTTCAATCGATCCAGATGAACTACTTTCATCTTACTTCTAGGGCTGCGTTGAATCCAGTACACAACATCCTCTTGATGACTGTATAAGGACCTTCCCATGCTGGAGTTAACTTTGGGGACCTTCCTTTCTTGCGCTGTGGGTTATACAACCATACCCTATCGTCTTGTTGAAATCCCGTAGAATTAGCTCTGAGGTCGTAACGAGCTTTCATCCGGTCACTGGCTAGCGTAATCTTACTTCTCACGGCCTTATGAATTCCCAATAATCTTTCCTTCCTAACGATTCTTTCGAACGACAGTCCAACGTTATCTTGTTCCATTTTTCCTCCAGATCTAAAATAAGTCTGTTGGCTCTAACAGCCGCAACCGAAAAGAATCTTTAGTAGATATTTATGGATTTGTCCATCGGCAAAGAAGAAACAAACTTACCGTGGAAAGGGCCGGAAAACTTACTTATATTGTCCATAATTAAAATTTACTAAATGGAGAAGAACATCCAAGAATGGTAGAGGCTGCTGAGAAAGGGATAGAAGAAGAAGAAGATATCGATATACCAATAGATTTGACTCAATTAAGTAAAGAGAAAGAAGAACCATATGACAAGATTGAGGATGATTTACCATTATCCACTTTATTACGTACTATAACATACTCTTCTTTGACTCTGACTAGCTTAAAAAAACGTTCTTGTCTTTTTTTTGTATATGTTTTTATAGTTTTGAGATAAAAAAATAGTATACAGGGTGATCCGAACTGTATTCCGGAAACTTCGGCAGCATATTTTGCAGATAAAAATGAGTAAAGATGTTCGTATAGATGTATGTCCAAAAAGGCTTAGTTTCGGAGATACAGGGTGTAGAAGTTTCATTTTTATTTCGATTTTTTCTAAATAATTTCTGCAGTAACGTCAATATTTGGATTAAAATTGGTGTCTGGGAGTTTTTGACATGAGAAATTTGATTTTGATGTCAATATGACTCTTACTTATAGAAGGCGCCCCCTACATATTTTTTAACTGGTTGGAAGAGTAATAACTTTTCGTCCGTACCTGTATCGTCCGTACTAAGTAAAAAATATACATTTACCTAAAAATATACGTTTTTTTTACGTAAAAAAGGTCTCTTGGTAAAAATCGCTATGTTCTCGAGATATTTGGAATCGAAATTATCAATACCTATCTTCATTGACATAAGTCATAAATTGACTGAAATTTTTGACTATTTCCGGAATACAGTTCGAACCACCCTGAATATTGTAATTATTTATTATTAATATATCACCCCGTTTATCACCAAACCTCCACAACCTTGTATCACCATTCCATCTTCACCCAATTAAAATAATTCCGCGACGTTTCTACGTCTCTCCCCTCTGCCACCCGTCTCTTCCACCGCGACTTAACGATAGGTATCGGTGCGGCAGCGCGGCGCGATTTGTCCGAGTCGCAGTGGCGTCCAATTAGATTAATTATGAGCGATCAGGGGCGGCACGATCAGTGACGCGCATCGGGCGCGGATTAATGAGATGCGCGGCGCGAGAAGCGAAAAAAAGGGGCCCAATTAAAGGCGAGGATCGAGAGAAAGAGAATGGGAAGGAAATGTTTTTTATTTGCATACGAGAAGAATGCCGACGATCTGCTTGTTACCCCGGAGAAATAAGTAAATGCAGAAACATTCTAATACAGGGTGAGACTTAAATAGATAGTACGGTAATCGCAAAAACATTTTCGATGCAAGTGATCAACTTTGTGCGACGCAAGCAATGGCGACAGTGCTGCCATGTGATGGATTTATAGAATGAATTTTAATGTAAAATTGGAAAACGATATATTTATTATATCATTTTTTAAAGATTTTTACTTTTAAAGAGTTAGATTTATTTTTAGTTTAATAATTAATATTTTGGTAATTAATTGATTTATTTGTTTTATAGCTTATTTTACTTATTACATATTGGCAAAAACTAGTCCATTACGAGGATTATTTTAAGCGTTATTATGAGTCATTTATTCATATATACATATTTTCAACACAGAAATTTTAAGAAATGCAAAACAAAAAGTCGAAAATTGTGTCCTTAAAAGAACTGTTTGTGCTTAAAAGTACAATTTAAAAAAAATACTATGAAAATAGACAAAAAACGAGAATTAAACACAAAGATTCAACAACAACACGATATTATACAAAACAATGACCGACATTACGATAATTGTCAAATAATAAACGACAACGTTGCTGAACACGGCGCAATGTGACCAACATAGCGATAATAAAATTCGATTTAAACTAATTTTTGCAGCTCTAATCTAAATAAAATATCTGTTACAATTTTTTGTTCTATAAAGTAAATGCTGCTCGGTATCTTAAATCATATCACAAATTTAAACATTGGAGAACGTTTAGTTTTTATTTTTTTTTAAACATTTCTGCCAAAATTTCATTTAGTCAGATAGTTCCTTCATACTGTGAATATTTCTGACTGACAACGAAACCAATTAGCAAGTAACGGGGATGTCACTTGTTAACTAAAGACCTAGTTCAAGGAACTATACCTCTGGAGGAACTCGAGCTAAGGAACTAGTTCCTCCCAAGGAACTAGAATTCCCACTCTATGGACAGTATAAATCTATAAGGTCGCGGTGATTAACTTCTCATACAATCTACAATCTATAAGGCCTGACTGAAAACAACCGAGGTGTATGGGTGCCTTTACAGCAACAAATCTACTCTCGACAAATTTAAATTTTAAATACCCACCCAGCGAAACGTGAGAGACAATAAATACTCGGAAATAAAAATGGCCAGACGGTCACTTAACAATTTTAAATTAAACTAACAAAAGCCTGTTAAAAATTAACTCTTCGCAATTCTATCGCGTATCAAATGCAAATCACGGGCCGGCGTTTTCAGCATCACAGCGTCGAAAAAAAGAAAGAAAAAGCAATTGGAACAACGTGTCGAGCTGCAGGACGTCGCGGTGTAACCGAAATGACTTGTGCCCCGGCGGCAGATCAAAGGCGCCGAGTCGACAAAGGGACAGTAACAAAATTGGGAATGAGCCAAACTATCGATATATTTTACAATCAAAAACCGTTTTCACTTTAGGATCTCAAAGGTTCAAAGTTAAGTTAAACTGTATGGCAACTAGGGTTCAGAACCTCGAAAGAACCTCGAGACTCGAAATTGTTAACTCCCGGTTCTATCGGTACTTTCGGGACACTGCGGTTACGTGCGAAATACTTTTGATACTTTCTAGCGATCGAAATCAAACTCTTCTAAGTAAGTAATGATGCTATTTCTTATTGTTCCTGCTTCTTCTATCTTTTGAAGTTCCTATAATATTTATTATGTTAGGTTTTAATAGATAGTTGCATTTTTAATTCAATATTTTAGGGCTTTTGTCTCAAATTCAGTTAAGTTGGTTCATGTTGTTTGATGTGAAATTTAAGTTACATTTACTTTTTTCTTTACTTGTGTTCGTGTTAATTTTTTCATGGCTGATTACTTAATAATTTCATATTATTTTGATCAAAAATGTTAATTTTTTATCAATTTTACTTTGAGAACCATCCCTTGATTTATAATTGATGAACTGCACAACTATTGAACAAAAATAGTCAGTACCGAAAGTACCGAAAAAAACGTGAAATCTCGGTTCCTAAGAAGCGCGGTACCGAAAAACAGCTTCGGTTCCGGAAACCCTAGTCGAATTGAAATCAAATTAACATTTTTTACTTTTTAGACCTTTTATTCAATGCATCTATCAAATTTAACCCTAGCAAATGAAAAATCGATACAATCTCATTACATATCGATACTATCACCCCTCCCTATCGATTTCCGCTCAGTCCCAAGTTCAAACCTCTCCACAATACGGTACATGTCGTATTGTTGTGTCTGGCAACGGAAGAAATGACCCAATTTTCATCTTTTCTGTCATTATTAACGTCGATGATAGGACAGAAATCGAAAAGAATCAGAAGTATCGAATTGAATAAACGAATTGTTGTGTGCGTTAGATCGATGAACTATCGAACAACCGTTTGAAACAGAATCTGTTATTCTGTCAATACAGTGACGGGTGGTTTGTAAAAATTTTGATTTGTCTTGGAAATTTTACAAAAAATAAAAATAAAATATAAACTAACGTATATGTTAGAATGATGGGTCTTTCCTACATTTTTTAATTAATTATTTTGGAAGTTCAGCAGCCCTGTAGCGCCAGTGCACGCCATCAGCCGCCACTGGGATTTGTGTCACTGTAGAGTGTGCCACGATTGTTCTTTTGTTTCTCTTTCTACTGTTTCTTCAAAGAGAGATCTAGATTTTCTTAAAGAATGAGATATATTGTTCAGTTTGTAGGTCTCTAGGTGTCGTACTAGGATAAAGTAAAAGGTTGAGGTGTGTGTTAAAAATTCTTTAAGTATAAATATTTATAAATCTTATTTTTTGGAAGATGTTAACATGCAAGTATTATTCCCTGAATATTATTAAAATTTGGAACAATTTTTTTTATGTAATCGGCAGTAAAGGTATAATTTTTTACTAGTAGTTTTTCGTCTAAAATTCCGTTTTAAGACACAATAAGACAGCTTTTCTAATTTCAAAATGCTAATGCATTTAGTCAAAAAAAATAAAGTACTCCTACTCTAGGTGGTAACTTTGGTACGACTGATAAATAAATAAATAAATAAATAAATAAATAAATAAATGCCTTTATTTCCAAAAAAAATTACAATTTGTAAACAAAGGTAAAGTAAACAAACAAACAAAAGAGAATACAAAAACATTATACAAATTACATTGTCAGTTTTATTGTTTAAAATAAACATTTATAAATGTTTACAACGTCAAAGAATAAAAAAATAAAAGTACGATTCAAAAATAGTAAGTTTATAGTAAATATCAATGACCTTTAAACAAATTTATCGATGTATTATATGAATTAATAACAATATTATCGATGTCATTGGTAAATATAGTAATAGTAAACATTAGACCAGTGTTTACAAGATCAAATTCGATTATCAAAATATAAGTCACTAGCGTGTACCAGCGACTTCGTTCGCGTCGAATTAATTAATCATTTGTAATGGTGATGATAAAGCAAAGCGAGAATTTTCTTTAACATACAAACTGGATAAAATTTTCTAACATTTATGTCAGCATGAGAAAAAACAATATGGCGATATTATTATATAACTTGGTAATATTTGAGGGGTAGTTTCATCTCTTTGGAATTTGACTTTCGAAAAATCCGTTTGCCAAAAATAAGCTTTTTACGTCAAGCAGTTTAAACAGAATCGTGGTTAAGAAATTACCCAACTTTTTAGAGCACCCTGTATGAATTTTTAAAAAATTTCAAAATAAATTATGCTTGTCCAAGCGTTTTCCCGAAAGACAAACCGTTTTTTAAATAACAAATATTGTAATATTTGAGATAATTTGAATTTGAGATTCGAGAATCCCTTCCTTATCGAACCTCTACACCCCACAGTCAATCAAAAATCAGCTTCAAACGTCAAGCAGTTTAAGCAGAATCGTGATTACTCAATGGTCATATTTTATGAAACACCCTGTATACATTTATAAAAAATCTTAAAATATGTAAAACAACAAAATAAAATATACGTGTTTAAGAGTTTTTTCCGAAAAACTCACCGGTTTTTATATAAAAAATATTTTAATATTTGAGGGGTGGTTTCACCCCCTTAGAATTCGAGTTTCGAAAAATCCCTTCTTATCGAACCTCGACACCCTAAAGTCAATATGTTTTCCAAAAATCAGCTTTTTACGTCAAGCGCTTTAAGCAGGATCGTTATTAATCAATGACCAGATTTTTCGAAACACCCTGTATACATTTTTAAAAATTCTTAAAATATGTAAAAAGACAAAATAAAATATACGTGTTTAAGCGTTTTTTCGGAAACTTGACCGTTTTTTAAATAAAAAATATTGTATTATTTGAGGGGTGGTTTCACCCCTTAGAATTCAAGTTTCGAAAAATCCCTTCTTATCGAACCTCTACACCCTAAAGTCAATCTGTTTTCCAAAAATCAGCTTTTTACGTCAAGCGCTTTAAGCAGGATCGTTGTTAATCAATGACCAGATTTTTCGAAACACCCTGTATACATTTTTAAAAATTCTTAAAATATGTAAAAAAACAAAATAAAATATACGTGTTTAAGCGTTTTTTTGGAAACTTGACCGTTTTTTAAATAAAAAATATTGTAATATTTGAGGGGTGGTTTCACCCTCTTGGAACTGGAATTTCGAAAAATCCCTTCTTGCCGAACCTCTACACCCTAGTATCAACCTGTATGCCAAAATCGAGCTTCTTACGTTGAGTGGTTTGAGCAGGATTCTGATTAATCAGTATGTCAGTCACTTAAGGATTATATAATATTAGTATAGATTTACGGCGTAGAAAGCCTTGACTAGTAAATAAGATTTCAATGCTTTGCGAAATGAAGAAAATTATGTTATGAATTTGATTTCGAATGGCACGTGATTGTGCATTTTTTCGAGTTGTATAATATTGAACTTTTAACTAACTCTGAGCGTGGGGTAGGTAGATAAAGATCTTGCTCCGGCGTTCCTGAGTGGATAAGTGTGAGATAGCCTTTCTTGAGAAGCTGATACATGCTTACGTATTAGGCAAACGGATTCAAATATAAATAAGGAAGGAAGAGTTAATATTTTTAATTTTTTAAAAAAGTCCTGGCAATGAGTTCTGCTGTTTAGTCCTAGTGAATATCGAACAGCTCTCTTTTGGAGCTTGAAAATGCGTAAAAAGTAATCGTTAAGGTTCTAGGAGAGGTAGAGATATTGCTAGACGAAGAAACTTTGTTTCTCAAATCATCGCAATAGACCATGTTTCTTTAGCAACATTACCAGAATTGGCGATTCTCCTATTATAATAAAGGTCCTTAGCGGCTCTTAAGTTTTTTAAGAAAGTCCTGGCAATGAGTTCTGCTGTTTAGTCCTAGTGAATATCGAACAGCTCTCTTTTGGAGCTTGAAAATGCGTAAAAAGTAATCGTTAAGGTTCTCAGGAGAGGTAGAGATATTGCTAGACGAAGAAACTTTGTTTCTCAAATCATTCGCAATATACCATGTTTCTTTAGCAACATTACCAGAATTGGCGATTCTCCTATTATAATAAAGGTCCTTAGCGGCTCTTATAGTCTTATGATAAATTTTTCTGTATAGTTTTACGTAATTGTGGAAGAAGACACTGTCTGAGAATTTTTTTAAATGAGATAATGAACGCATGTTTTTAGAAGATATGCGTAGACCTTTAGTGGTCACAGCCTAAGAGGAAAGGATTTGAACGCTAGACTGGTTAATGATTTTACGAAAATAGAAAATTCGGTGTCGACATCATAAGAGTGAGTATCCCAGTTGGTTGTTTTACATAAGTGGCTGAATTTTTGAGCATTTTTTTCTGAAAAAATACGGCATAATTTACGAGGGGCATTTTTGATTTTGGAATTTATCGAAAATTTAGTTAAAATTGCTTCATGATCAGAGAGACCCGATCTAAATGATATCGGAGATGGAGAACTAACCTCTGTAAAACCGTCGCAGATACTGACTTTTGTCAAAGTTCTGAGACTATATGAGATGAGTTTTAACTTAAGAAAGGGAGACGCAATAGATCTATAAGAAATAAAGGTAGAAGGTAGATAATGTGACACTTAATTTACACAAATGATAAAAGTCGGTAATATCAATATTACATATACAAATAAAATACATTAAATCAAAAAAAAATAAAGCGAAAAATAAGTGCGTTCCTTAAACACAGAAAAAAGTATAGCTTTTTTTAATTGTAACTGATACTTTCGAAAAAACTTTTCCCTTTCAGTAACCTTATACGCACGGAGTGCAAGGTCTGAGTTATTTGCGTTTTTTAATATCGCAAAAATCATAAATAAGTAATGATACTGCTCGCGTGGGATAATATCAGTTTACCGTACATATGTAATTTTAGATCTGCAGATAGGAGAAGGGGCATTCATTACACAAAACGCCACATTTTATATTAATGGTCACGGAGGCCTGACCAATGATGCTTATTTACTTCTAATGAATAGATAATTTGATTTGAATAATTGCCAGAGGTGTCTCGTGCGTTTTCTGTTTTATAATTGTAATGATTATGATACTCGTATTAAAGCCTATTAATATACAGGGTGGCGCCTCTCATACGACGCGGAGGCTCCGACGCGGAGTAGGTTAATGCAGAGCACTTTTTAAAAATATTAAGAGTTCTACAGGGTGTCCCCAAAAAAGTTACATATCAAAGTTGTGTTTTTTGTAATGGAACACCCTATATATTAATTGATTTTCGGATTCTAGGAGAAAAATAAAGGTGAGTTTTATAAGAGAAGTATATGACTAAAATGTAAGGTTTTTGATATATTGATAAAAAACAATTTTTAAATTACAATAAAAGCTACCTAAATTGGAATTTACCCGATATAGTTTAATATATAGTTAAACTAACTGTTGTTACTTTAAATCAAATTAAAACTTGATCCAAAAAGTTATACGGGGTGAGACAAAATTAATATTGAACATTGGCCACCTTTAAAAGCAAGTTAATCTTTTATTTTAAATGGAACAGCCAGTATATTATTCCAATATTCACTAGGGAATTCCTGTCTCTTCAAAATACTATTAAGGTTGCCTACCCCTCAAACAAAGATTTTCTTAGATATTTTCATTTTTATGATTTAGTGTCAGTGGAGCTTTATTATTTGATAAAATCTAGGTGGCTGTGATATGTCTGACGTTACTTCAATATAGCTATCTCATTAGTCCAACAGTCTTAGATATTTTCATTTTTATGATTTAGTGTCAGTGGAGCTTTATTATTTGATAAAATCTAGGTGGCTGTGATATGTCTGACGTTACTTCAATATAGCTGTCTCATTTAGTCCAACTTTACCAACTAGTTATTATTTTGCGTCAGTTAAAACAAAAATAAATCTCAGAAATTGCCCCTGATTTTATCTAGTCTGGGCTTTTTTATGGGGATATGTTAAAGACAGTGTATATAAAACTCGACCAACTATTGTCGACAAGATGAGAGAAATTATGCAGTGAACAGGAAAGGCAGCATTTTGAGCATTTGATTTCATCTAGTTAATTTTTGTCACAATATTATACGTTTATATCTAGTTTTAATTCTGTAATAATTAAAATATGTTTTAAACGTGTATCTTCTTACTACCGTTGAGTATTTTACTCTATATTCTTTAATTTTTGTTAAATTAACAAAAGGCCACCTAGATTTTATCAAATAATAAAGATCTAATAACGCAAAATCATGAAAATAAAAATACCTAGGAAAATATTTTTCTGAAGGGTAGGCAACCTTAATAGCATTTTGAAGATATATGAATTCTCCATTGAATGTCGGCATAATATACTGGGTGTTTCAATGAAAATAATGGAGTAACTTTTATCTGAGAACTTTTTGTCTAAAATACCGTATGATCGAATAAAAACGGCGTCAGCGATGGCTATGAAATGGCGATCGATGATATTTCCCATATAATTTTACATATAAAATGACCGAAAGGCGCATATTTATTTACATATTTACATATCCGAGATACCCATAGAGAACATCATAGGAAACTCACCCTGTATAGTATTTAGAAACTAACTATTATTATTATTTGACTAGATTCATTTGATTAATAAGACTCGATTAATTTAATTTAAAATAAATTTGATCAGATTTTTTTTTCGTATATTCTACTACCAGAAAACCAAAATTATATGATAACGCACTTTTCAACGAAGTTGAAGGAAGATAGTGTAGTTATCACAATACTTAATCGAATTATTACAATTAGAAGAAAAACAAAAAAAAAATACCCAAATACCTTCATGCCAAATCTACTACTTATCTACAAAATAAACGAATATAATCTCTTATAAAACCACTACACAACTACTTCTTGTATTCTACACTGAAAAAATTATTAAACTTACTAATTAACCCATTTGGTCCTACTGTACTTTATAAAGTATCGCATTTTTACCTAATTCTAAAACACAGTTGCGCTACTTAAAATAAGATGGCGCCACCAATTCTTCAGTGAGTAAGGTTTTTTGTAAACAACAAATTAGTAGTCCTTACGCAGTGTGAAGTGAACGTTGTTTTAGCCGGCTCTTTGTAAACACGTGGTAAACGGATTTTTGCAATGGATAATTGGAGGTAAGTTTCTTATGACTTTTTTATAAAATATTTTTTAAATTTATATTAGATTTAGTACTTTATTAGCTAAACCGTAGTGTACAAGTCATATTTTATCTTTGGGTTTATATTTAACAGCTGATTAGGGCTTGAAATATTATGGTACTTTTAAAAGGCCGGTAGGACTTAGTACTATTATTAGGTAATGTCTTGTATTTTTATTTTAGGTATAATAGAAAGCGACCCCTTACGTTAGCTGAGCTTATTGCGGAGCTGGAAGATGACGACACGATGGACGTTCCCAACAGCATTACTATTTTTCCCCCAGATAACTCAAATGACCCTGTTACTGATGAAGATTCAGGCGAGGAAGACGTTGTGTTGGATAATCTACCAGGGTCTCAATTGAGAGTAGAATGTGAGCCTGAAGTAGAAATTGATACCTCCAATGACTGGGATTCTGATGATGACCTACCTTTAGCCAACTTTGTTCGACGCAAACCAAAAAAATTCAAAGAGTTTTCATACACCAAGCAAGATCTTACACACAACTCTTTTCCCGTGTGGGCTCCAGTTCAAAACATAAAACACCAACGATCTCCCGCTACTTTATTCAAGTTATTTTTTGATGACACTGTTATGACTCAAATTCTCGAGTATACCAATCTTTATGCGCGCCAGAAAAATCGCCTTGGTGATGTTACAATTGATGAACTATTTTCCTATATTGGTATAATGATCCTTAGCGGCTACTCATCAGTGTCTAGACGAAAAATGTACTGGCAAAATTCAGACGACACCAACAATAAACTTGTTGCTGCTGCCATATCACGAGATCGGTTTCAGTTTTTGACAAATAACATTCATTTCAATGATAACAGCCAGCTAACCCAAGGAGACAAATTTTCAAAACTGAGACCATTATTTGACTCACTAAATAACAAATTTCATGAATATGCGCCAATAGAAGAATATCATAGTGTTGATGAGGCTATGGTTCCTTATTTTGGACGTCACGGATGTAAACAGTTCATCCGTGGAAAGCCAATTCTACAAATTGTGGGTACAAATTGTGGGTAGGTGCAACACGACTTGGATATATTGTAAATTTTGATCCATATCAGGGTTCAAACTCTAGCATTCCTGAAGAATATTCTCAGTTAGGTTTAGGATCTGCTGTGGTTTTGAAATATGCCGACGTGCTGGGCACTTTACCTTACGGCCCTTTTCATTTGTTTTTTGACAATTATTTTACTTCTCTTTCTCTTATGAGAGAGCTCAAACTACGAAACGTAAAAGCAACAGGAACCATAAAAGAAAACCGTATTCCGAGTAGCCCCTTACAATCAGCAAAGGACATGAAAAAGAAAGATAGAGGGTCTTTTGATTACGCTCTTGCAGACAATGACATAATCATTTGTAAATGGCATGATAATAGCGTTGTTAGTCTGGCATCTAATGCATCGTCTGTTTTTCCACTGGGCAAAGCTAAAAGATATTCCCAATCAGAAAAAAAACACGTACAAGTAGACCAGCCATGTCTAATAAAATTATATAACGAAAACATGGGCGGCGTCGACCGAAGTGATCAGAATATTGGTCAATATAGAACTACAATACGTGGAAAAAAATGGTATTTTCCATTATGGACCCACTCTGTGGATATGGCAGTACAAAACGCTTGGCACTTGCAAAAACTGGATGGCGGCACTTTGGATCAGCTATCTTTTCGGAGGTCGATTGCTATGGAGCTATTAGAGACCCATAAACGTACCACCAAGAGAGGACCTTCAAAAACACCAAAGAATCAGCATGAACACTCCCGTTATGATGGAAGAGGCCATCTAGTGGTATATTCTGAAAACCAGCGCAGATGTGCCCTGTGCCATAAAAGAGCGAAGTTTTTGTGCGACAAATGCCAGGTCGCTCTGCACCCGAAGGAATGTTTTTTCAATTATCATACTGTGTAAATCTCACCTTATTTGATATTTGTTTTGTTTTGTTTTCCAATGTAGGTTTTTTTAAATAAATCAGTATATTGTCCTACCGGCCTTTTAAAAGTACACCACTTCCTGAGCAAATGAACAATTTATGATTTTTTTTACTATTTTATTAAATATTAGTAGACTATTTTAAACCCAAATTGACATAAAAAAAATGCGTTTTTTGGAAAAAGTAGTTTTAGGACTTAATGGGTTAATCAAACAAAAAGAAAAAATAACCAAATTATCCCTTCACCTACTACTTAACTACAAAATAATAAACTATAAAAACACTACTAAACTATTTCTGGTATACTACACTAAACATTATAATTAAACTTAATAAAATTAATATAATTTTACACTACAACCCCTACAACTACAAAGAAATCTTATTTCTTTCTAGTTTTACATTTTTTAAAACTAGAAGAAACAGAACTTCGATACGTGCGACCAATATAATAGATCAAGCGGACAAAGAATATAAAATACTTTAAAAATGTGCGTTCGAAAGAAAAAATATCTCGAAAATTATCTAAGCAAACATTTTTTTTCTTATCAGTGAAAAGCATCGGCCTCGTCGGCCTTGCAGAATTTGGCGGGTATTTACAATGGTCGAATTGTATAATTACCAGCTTTTATAGCATATCTAATAGACAAAAAGTATCTGGTCGATTAGTAACCAATTGGCACAGTCCGAAAATTATCGATTTTTATTTTCTCTGTTTTTATTGGTCGCTTCAAAATTCAGAGTAACAAAAAATATTTTTCTGTGGTAAAAGACTGTGAAATACGTCCCGCCATCTGGTGCTTGTAAGGGCCAAATTTTTTTTTTTTATTTCAGGCGGTCAACTCAAATTAAAAATAAAAACCGTAAAACAAATTTAAAGGGCGTAAATGTTGTATAATAAAATACAACTAATAATATAAAATAAAAATAATACTAATAGACGGTACGTTACTAATGGTAATAGCCAACTTTGATCTGGGCGCTGCAAATGGACAAATGTTGTATAGCAACAAAAGTCTTGTATGACCCGGCTACCGAGATGACCTACCTGCAATTAAAGAAAAAACATGGTGTGAGCAACAATGTTACCAGTTATTATTAAAATAAAGTGAATTTAAAATTAAACAGGTACTTGAATGATTTATCAATAGTCCAATTTAAAAATACAAGTTTAAATAAAATAATAAAATGCCACACAGGCTATCAAATGCCACACAGGCTAAAAAAAACAAGCCACACAGGCTAACAAAATGCCACACAGGCTAAAAAAACATGCCACACAGGCTAGTCACACAGACTATTAAAAAAATATGCCACACAGGCTATCAAATGCCACACAGGCTAAAAAAACAAGTCACACAGGCTATCAAATGCCACACAGGCTAAAAAAACAAGCCACACAGGCTATCAAAATGCCACACAGGCTAAAAAAACATGCCACACAGGCTAGTCACACAGACTATTAAAAAAATATGCCACACAGGCTATCAAATGCCACACAGGCTAAAAAAACAAGCCACACAGGCTATCAAATGCCACACAGAACTACCACAAAACCTTAATTATACCTCAGAAACTTTAATAGTTTTAATTTAATAAGCGCGTACCACTTCTTTCTCTGACGCTGTCTAATACTGTTTTAGACGGCGATACTGTATTGAATGTTATCTGAAACCTTTTTGAAAAGTGCAGGTAGCATGAATTTTGGGCTTGTTTTTGTTTACATTCGAAATTCCATTGCGCTCCGGCTTTTGAAATGTCTGTTTTTTATTACGTCAGATAAAGAAAACGTAGCATAGAAAAATAGAGTTCTTACATGCTTTACATCCATAAACGTCTTAGGTTGAGCTACTTTAACAATTCATATACAGGGCTATTATCATCCGAAAAAAATGCGACTACTAAAGCAGCTAGTCAGCTACGGTTTTTTTTGACATGGTTTGTGGCATAGTCAAACATACACTGAGTCACACTGAACTAATTCATTTAAAACATTTAACTAATCGTACTACAAGTCGCTTTAGAATGTCGTTACGTTTATGGGCCAAAGTATCTACGGTCTGTCTGAACGATTTTTCGTCCAACCTATCGTACGATCAGTTGTACAACCGATTGTATCGTCTATGGGCCCCTTTAGACATGCCTTGTATCGTCGAAAAAAAATATCAGTACCTAAACCTCCGAAAACACCAGCTTTTAATCTACGCTGTGGTCCGTTTTGTGGCTTTGACAGTCCCCTCTTCAGACGGTTTACATCATAATGATTTTCCCAAAGTAAATAAATAAAAGTTTATGAGGTTTTACGGTTTGAGAAGTGTGCATTAACACCTTCTTTAGTGCCACAGTAAAACGAGAAGCTGCGGCTATAAATAATTCTATTTAATAACAAATATTCGGGAATTGTATAAAATTTGTGTGCGGGATTTCGTTTTTTATTGTGTAACAAAAAAAGTAATTTAGGAAAGCTGAAAGTGGGTGTAAAGAAGATAAGTAGTAATAATAATAATACCGTATGATCGAAAAAAAACGACGTCAAAAACCGCTGGGAAATGACAATCAATGATAATTTTGGCGGAGCCAATCTCTAGACGCCATTTACCTAAAATTGACAGAAAGGTTAAAAAAAGATAGAATGTATCCAGAAACACACAAATCTTTTTTTTTTCTAGAATTTTAAACTAAGTACACCATTTTAGTACTAGTACACCTCAATACAGGGTGTCCCAGAAATGAGTGCAAATATTTTAAGGGGTGGTAGATCTGATCAAAAGAAACATATTTTTTCTTTACCATTTTTAAAAAAAATTGAAAATCACCGAGTTATTTAACTTTGAAAGTTTTAAAAATAAATTGCGACATTTTGAGAGCCGCCGCGCCGGGGGAAATCGGCAATTTCCCGGATCTCGCCTTGTTCGCCGCCCGCTGTTGCCGCGACTAGAGAGTCTTAAAAACTACTTGCAAAATTCCATAACACTAAGTGGATGATCGCCAGTAGCCATACTTCCCACATTTCCCAAATTAAATTAAAAGAAAAAAAAACTTACCAAACATTAAAAAAGGATAACCCGATAGAAGATCGATATAATTACAAAGCTTTCTTTTTTTCCATTTTACCAGTCCTAAACTGCCCTTAACACTACACTTAACTTCACTACAATTCTTAACAACACTTGAACTTTGATGCCACCTGAGGATCCAAACTTCCAAAATCCCTCAAATGCTGAATCATACTCACAGCTCACAGAGTTTACACTTGATAACGGTAAGTGATCCTTCTGACCGAAACGTTGGGTTAATCAAAATAAATAAAGACAATGGAAGTCCAATCCAAACCAAACCAAACCGAAATTCTTTTATTTTTAATATACTCACACAGGTTCGAGCATTCGTGATCTGTCTATTCGAATACTCTTCGGAATAAAGCCTCTTAGCTTCCGCAGCCCCTTCACCTGCCAGGAGGAAGTATGCAAAATTCACACTTTAGGTAGAGTTTAGAAGCATATCCACCTTCTTCGGATTTGTATAGGCCATCGCGATTTACCGATACCGATACCGATTACCGACACAAAAATATGCACTAACGAACATTTTAAACACAATCTCCGATAACTTTCTGGAGTTTTAAAAGCTCGATACTATTAGAAAGATTTCTAATAGTCGAACGTGCTGATCATCTTATTTATTAACCAAAATACAAAATACAAACTCTACCTAAAGTGAAAAATCATTAATTTTACACCAGTTTTGTGGGAGAGTTCAGTAGAGGTTTCAAGTAGTTATTAAAGCAAGTTTTTAACACTTTTTGTTGTATTTGTGAGTTTAGTGTTTAATTATTATGTGAAACATTTTAAATAATATTTTGCAAGTGATAGATTTGTAATGTTCAGATTCATAGATATTTGGAGTGTATGTGTAATGGTATATGTTGGATAAAAACTTCTAAAATGATTATGAAATACAAAAATAAGAAAATTAGGTTACTTTATCAGCTGTATTTACATTCCAAGTTATGAATGCGACTATGTTGTATAAACGCATATGAAAATTGTGATTGTGACTGTGCTTATGCTTAAGACAAGAGAATGTGGGTATGGTAGGAAGTGGCAACATTGCATTCTCTCCGAGATTCTCTCTATAGGCACGGTAAACGAATTTCCTGAGAGTGAACAGTGGCACTCAAAAGTTTTTCAAAATTTTCCGGAAAATGTCAAGAAAAATATAAAATTTTCAACATTTTTTTTTCGCAAAAAAAAAACTCATAGGCGTGTTTCTGGGGTTGAACTATACTACTGGTTAAAATATTTGCACTCATTTCTGGGACACCCTGTATAAAGATAAATTATAACCTCCTTAAGGCCAACTGGCAGTAAATACTATTAAAAAATAAAAGTAAAAGATGTCTAGGACTTGATCTCGTCAAAATTATCATCGATTGTGATTCTCCAGCCCTCTTTAAACTGTTTTTTTTGGATCGTATAGTAAAATATTTAATAATGTGTCCTAATATTACCATATCCCTAAGCGTATAAGAAATTCAAAACCAACAAAGAAAAAAACGCTTTCAAACGTTCTTTTCGAACAAGTTTGGGACTCCTATGTAGTTAGTATAACAAAAAGTAAGCTCTTATTACACCAATTCGACGAATTATCGAAAAAATGGCTGCACGAATGAATGCCCGAGTTCTTCCCACCGTTTAAACGTTTTGGCTAATGGTCCTTTAGTCTGTCAAATTGGTTAATAATAAATACTGGAAAAACGAGAGACACATGCCATTTAATGTATATAGGGAATAGGGCATTAAAATGATAAAATTACCCCCTGAAAATGGATGCCTTTGGAGACCCGGGGTTACGCCTACAAATCGTTTAACAGGAAGCAGACAGTGCCGTGTATGAAAACCGATGCCAAGGGAGCGAAACGTTAGTAATATAATGTACTATGATAATCTATACTAATATATAAAATCCTTAAGTGACT